GAATTCTTTAACCCTTTGGTATCACTTCACTGGTATCAGTTAAACAAAATCTTTGTGCAAATAGGGCTAGATCTTTTCAATGCAAACCAAGAGAACTGAAAAAGTGTTCATAGAATCATAGAATGGTTTGCTTGGAAGGGACCTTAAAGATCGCCTCGTTCCAACCCCCCTGCCATGGACAGGGACACCTTTCACTACACCAGGTTGCTCAAAGCCCCATCCAGCCTGGCCTTGAACACTTCCAGGGAAGGGGCATCCACAACTTCTCTGGGCAACCTGTTCCAGTGCCTCAACATCCTCACAGTGAAGAATTTCTTCCTTACATCTAGCCTAAATCTTCCCTCTTCTGGTTTAAAGCTATTGCCCCTTGTTCTGTCATTACATGACCTTGTAAAAAGTCCCTCCCCAGCTTTCTTGTAAGCCCATTTTAGGTACTGGAAGGCTGCTTAAGGTCTCCCAGGAGCTGTCTCTTCTCCATACATTATCTGTGTATGAGGAGAAGTCCACACTTACGAAGAGCTTGCTTACTAAAAGAAAAATTATTTCAACAGTTCAATTTATTCACAAGAAAATACTGATTTTTTTATAAAAGCGTAAAGGCATAGCTAAGAAGGTGGAGAAGGTGCTAAGTCAATGCTAAGTCAAAACAATGGTTTTTGAGGTAAGCATTTTATACCTGTGATGTTACTTTCAGTATTTTTCTGAATCTCATCAGCTGTTCACATAACTGTTTTATAAGATGAAACATCTCAATGTGGGTTAACACATTGAAACAGAGCTTATCCTAGAAGGGTTCTGACATGTACTGCCAGTCTCAATGCATGATATTGCTGTTCAGATTAGACAAGAGTCAATGGATTTCTGAATGCATGAAGTCCTATGTTTAGAATCTCTAAAGCTGCTTCTTAGGTCTATAAATACCTTTTAGAGCTACAAATATTGTTGACAGATACAGAAAGACTTACTGTAAGGAAAAGTGATTGTTAATGTTGATATCTAGGTATAAGGAGCTATGAAGTTTAATACTGATTCTCACTGTATGAATAATATCAACAGAGCAACAGACTAAAATTAAGACTGACTGAAGCAGGCTTCTATTATGTTTAACTATAAGAATTTTTGCTACTTAGTGGTGGTTAGTTTTGGAAATTTTCACCATATGACTAAAAATTAAAAGAAGTGTTGCAGGATTTTGACTATGCTCCAAATATTATTTTTTTTTAGTGTTTTTTTCAAATGCCATTATACTGACTGTCTCAAAAACTGTATCTTTCTACTGAACAATATTCTTAAACATGACATTTATAACTGTTAGTAGAAGCTAGAGGGGCTCTGATGTGGCTGGTTATGAACTGCTAATACCATATGCTTCCTTCTTTCTGAGTTGACGTAAGCACCATTTCCTTTTTTACCCTCATTTATTTCTAGGTAGTCCTGTCCCAAATGAAGAAGGAGTTGTTGAATTTCGGATGGTAGGTCCTTTGAAATACATGTGGTGGTACCATGTTGTGGGACTCATCTGGATCAGCGAGTTTATCCTAGCCTGTCAGCAGATGACAGTAGCAGGGGCTGTTGTGACATACTATTTTACAAGGTAAGGACAACTTAGCTCTACTGTGAGTAGCCTAGAAATTGATTTAGCAGAAATAATGAGGGAACTTTTGGGGAGAATACTTGCTTCCGTCCTGAAAGCTGGAGAGCAGTTGAATTGTATTGACTTTTTTTAAATCATGTCAAGTCCTAAAATAATCTGTTTTGCTGGTTATAGATGGTGTTCGTGATATTTAGGACTTGAAGTCTTGTTTGCCTTGTAACCTGTGCAAATTGTATGGACATGGATGGTTGTTTACAAAGCAGAATGCACCTGGAAGGTCATCTGTGATGCTAGTAATTAATGTTGAGAAGCTTGGTAGAAATTAAAAGTTATCAAAAGCAATTGATTATTGCAAAACAGTGCCCTTTGAATTATTTACAGTGCTTCATTTATCTTTCTTACATGAGATTACTTCAGGTCTTATTAGATTCATCATTTACTTATGGATTCTGACAAGATCATGTACAAACAAAAAGTGATACAAAATATATGTGCATTAAAGCTCTATATTTCATTGCTGTATTTGTGTACTAAATTGTGTACCAGGCCATAGTTTATACTGGCTATTCTGCATGTGTCTGCTAGCTGTTCGGGAAGGCAATACTAATTGTTAAGCAGTGGTTTTACCAGCCTTCAGGCACAAGAATTTTACTTCACAGAGGTAAGAAACTGATTTCAGATTTGCAAATTTAGCTTTGGGGTTTTAGTCTCTAGTATTTGAAAACTTTTCTGAAATTAAAGTTGCTTAAGATTTACCTTAAATAAAGTGAAAATTAAAGTTCTCATTTTAGCCATTTAGGACCCATTTTTTTCAGAAAAAAACGTGGTATTGGATGCTTTGCTAGTATTTCATGAGCATAAATGGTACTTCAGTGATCTGAAGTATTACATTTTGGTATGTAGAGCAGAACTATGGCAATATTTTTGGTAAGGAAAAGAAACAAGTACACTAATACCTGTTTGTAAAAGTATAGTTTAATGAAGCTGCTCCACATGTTATCCTAGATCTAGTAGTTCATGATACATTTCTTCAAGAAAAAAACACCACCCAAAACCCACCACATCGTTGTTCAGGAACTAGATAAGTAATTTTATTTCAGATGTTCTCAAAGTCTTTCCCAAACAATATAAATACAACTCGTCTGGATAAAAAGCAGTATGAGTAGAGGATGTTTACAAGATATTTAGGAAAGGTGGTTTACGTAAGAAAGGAAAACCAAGATGTTGGAGTGATGCTATCCCCAAGAAAAAAACATTAGTATCCTAAATACATATGTAGTTCAGTTAGGGGGTTTTAGTATGTGCTTTTAGCCTTTCATTTGAAGAATATTGTATATAAAAATTTCTAGTGATACCCAGAAACTACACTCTGTTCTTGCCATATGCTTTTAAGAGTGTTTTTGAAAAAAATAGGTTTTTAAATAATGCATGCAGATATTTTTCAAGTGCGTGATCCAGATTACAAATGACTAATTGGTTTACCTTTTTAATTGAGACTGTTATCTGAATTACATTTGACTACTTATTTGCCCTAGTCTTTAAAACAATATCAAAGGCAAGGAATTAATTTATTGTGCTAACAGAAATTCTGGTATTTTATTAATGATGAAGTCCTCCAGTATACCAATGAAATACATCTATGAAGTTATTACAAGATGTTACAGGGATGTAATCTTGTGAATAATTAAACTAGATTGAGTAAAGAACTAGGAAAATACAGAGAAGAGAGGATAACTTTGCATTGAAATAGATCGCTTAGCAATGTGTATACTTCATCTGTAAGTTTATATATCTTCTATCACATGAGGGTGAATCATTTTGCTTTTAACTGTACCCTATCATTTCATAACAGGAGTTTTATTTTAAGTAAGTAAACACTCGTTTCTCCCTACTGTTGTCCTTTTTTTGCATTTTAAGGTACAATTTGAATCTGGAAAGTGATTTAGTAAGAAAGGAAAGGGCATTAATTTGGTCTTCCCTACTATTTTGCATATTAGCAGCTTTCCACAGCAAATGAGATGAAGTTATCCATGGATAAATGTTCTATATGTGTTCACTGTTCATTCACCTTAGCCAGATGGATTCCTTTCAATTCAGGCAGTAACAGACCTCAAGGTGTTCTGCGTTACAGACTCTGCCCTCAGTTGTATTTACCTCAAAAAGAGGAAGTTGGGTTGCCTGGGTGTAAGGCTCAGACCATTCATGTGATTGTGCCCAAAGGGGAATAGAATTTGTCTTTATGAGCTGTAAAAGTTAATTGGAAGAAAATACAGGGTAAACCTATTTTAATCATTAACATTTCAGGATTAAGTTGTGCAGATGTTAGTTTCATGGAATGAAGACTCTACTTCTTTATCTTTTTTTGAATGAGACTCCCATGAATGTAACTTTGTCCCAAGCTGGGAAGATATTTTATGTTTGGAATGTTAGGACTTGTTCCTTTAATATGCTTATTACTATGCTCATATTTCTAATAAAGAAGAAGAGCCATTCTTTAAATGATGAATAGAGCTGTTCTTTGAGAGATAAATAGAAGCGGCGTCCTTGGTAAGAAATTCAAATAAAGGCTTTAAGAGGGAATTGCTTCAAAACTCTGAAAGTGAGTATTCATCTGATATTCTAGCCACGTTGCAATAAAATAGCTTCTTTTAAGGCTTAAGACTTGGTTCCTTGAGGATATAATAGCTAAATCAGAAATGTAAAATATCTTGAGAAAAGAATTTACCTAGTAAATAAAAATAGTAATATCCTCTCCAAAGTCTCCACAAAGACCTCCAACAGAACAGGAGAGAGGGGGAAGGCAAGTTTATCAGTAGTCCAAGTGAAAAAATGCTAGCATTATTTCTCACTTTTTTGGAAGATTTTGAATTGAACACCATCAATTGTAGTTTTACAGAAACTGCAAGTTGGTGATAGCGGTAATGCAGCCAACTGCTACTAAGACTACCCTTAAGAAATACTGATTCCTTATCCTATTCCTATTACTGCATTAGAGCCAAAACTGTGACTTGTGCGGACTGTCAGTGAGGAGTGAACAATATACCCTGAAACCTAATACAAGGATAATACATTCCTTTTGCACATTATTTTATTGAGAATTTGTAACACTTCTAGATGATATTGCATACATACTGATCATTGTACTTTATTCTTTTTCTCTTTTCAACAGGGAGAAAAGGAATCTGCCATTTACTCCTATTCTGGCATCTGTTAATCGCCTTGTTTGTTACCACCTAGGAACAGTAGCAAAGGGGTCTTTCATTATCACACTAGTGAAGATACCACGAATGATCCTTATGTATATTCATACACAACTCAAAGGAAAAGTAAGAGAAATAGATTCCATTTTCTTACTGAAACTCAAGGCCTGACATCTTTACATGTTAATTTAGTATGTGTGGGAGGCTGGAAGTCTTGTTTTGGAATATTTGGTCTTTAAAGGACCATGGGACCAAGAGGGACTGCTTAAGTTACCAAGCTGGGTATCAGTTACTGAAACAGAAAGGAATATTGTTTTCTTAAGATCTCTTGGTTTTACTCTTTGCTTTCTCACATTCTGGGCTTTCCTAGGAAAATGCTTGTGCTCGCTGTATGCTTAAAGCCTGTATCTGCTGCCTTTGGTGTCTAGAAAAGTGCCTGACCTACTTAAATCAGGTAATATTTCCAATATTCAAGTTTTATGCAAGGGCTGATAATATATATATATATATATATTCCCAGAATGAAGTCTGAGGCTGACATGTAATGTATCATACTTTGGAACTGAACTTGAATGGCGTTACTTCAGTCTTGTCTCCATTACTGAAATTATACTGCACATCACTACATTAGTCTTTGTTTACATTGCAAAAGTGAAAAATAGCCAATATTCATCTTTGTGAACATGATATCTTGACTTTGTAACAATTTGTTTAGTGGCTGGAGATATTCCCCCTTTTGTGCAGTCTGTCAGACTACGTCTGAGTTTCAAAATATATTTGCTATGAAAAGAGAGTGAAGCTTTTCTTGGTGAAATATTTAGGGTTCACACAATTGAAAAACTGTACTTAACATCAAATTGTCATCATTGTCTACAAAGCGGAAAAAGAGTTGCAAGTTGTGACACACTGGCTGGTCAGACCCCTTTGTAAAAGAGGTTTTATTGGCCTGTGGTTCCACCTCTGTTAAGTACATCTGTGAATATCTCTCTAATATCTTTTTCACCGTTGTTCATTTTTTTGCTTGTAGAAATATAGAAAATAAAATCAGAAGAAACTGTTTAAAAAATGCCAATGTAATCCTTGAAAATTGTCCTGGCTAACCTTGAAAGCAGTCTAGTGAAGTATCTAAAAATTATCTTGGTGGACTTGTATGACCCTCAAACTCTTTTATATTTCCAGAATATTTTTTCTAACTACTTAATTGCTGTAGTTATGCCACTGCTCCTCTCCTCCTGCAGAGAAACTGCAAATTCTGTTTAATTAGTTTTTTGGAATAACCTTGTTAATGCATAAATGATGAGGAAGGGAGGAGAAAAATAGTAATTCTCTACCTCGTATAGTCTTCTGTCAGCTGGTACATACTGCTTGATTCAACAACTCTCAAGGGAATCTTTGTTTCATTAATATCATATGACTTATGTGACTTACTCAGAAGCTGGATCTTCCCCCTCTCCTCCCCCTCCCTTGTCTGAAATATCTGATCATTCCATGAGTAAATCTTCAATCTCCTTTTCCCAGAACGCATATACAGCCACAGCTATCAACAGCACCAACTTCTGCACCTCAGCAAAGGATGCCTTTGTTATTCTAGTGGAAAATGCTTTGCGAGTGGCTGCCATAAACACAGTTGGAGATTTTATGCTGTTTCTAGGAAAGGTAGGTCTGCTGTATATAGTTGTAATGGACTTATGTAGTAGCAAGCTTTGCTTAGCAATGGCTTGCACCCGAAATACAAAATGCCTTTAAATTCCTGTTTCATAGCATGCACTTTATCTCATGTAGCTGCACCATATCAGGAATTGACTCTCCAGGATAGAGAGGATGAACATTTGATCCACTTGTGTTAAGTAGAAGTGATTAGAAAGGAATAGCTGAAGATGATGACACCTTTTGCATGATTTTTTTTTTTTAGAGAGTCAAGAGAAAAATGATTAGAAGTTCAAAGTCTTTGATTGGTTTTGTGGTTAAAACCTAGAATTGTAAGGAAAGGAATAATTTCCTCTAAATTCTGGTTAGTAAGGGCTCTCCAGGTTTATGTTGAAAATTTACAGATTATTGATCACCATTTATGACAAAATTGGACTGGAAGGTAGTACAGAAGCCTGCTATGAGGAACCGCCAGCTTAAGCAACTTAAGTTACCTCTACTCTGAGAATTAAAAGGAGACTAGAATAATTGCTGTGGTCAGTCAGCTTTTTGGGTCTCCAACTAATGAAGATATACTTTATGGAAACTTAATCCAGTGAATTGTTTGTATTCTTTAAAGGATTTTGTGCCATTATTTACTAAAACAATTAATATCAAATGACTTAAATCACCTGTGCCTAAGCATTCGGACACTGGTTGGACTGAACTGTCTTCCCTGTCACATCCCTCTACTTAATTCAGAGTACAGCGGGCTGAACTTTTAATCCAGTCATTAAGTCAATATGATGTGAGAAGAAATAAACACATAATGAAGACATAGGTCCTTGGGAGACCATGAAAATACTTAATGTGGTTTTATGGAGGGGTCTGAAAGGTGTTAGGAAACATCTCGTGAAAAGACATCTTTCAAATTAATAGAGAAATGCACGGTTGACAGTAATGTTAAAATGAACAGTGCAGCATATAAAAAACAGTGTCAGCTAAAACAGTGCAAGACTGACAGCATGTCTCCTTTGCCAGTCCAATGTGGTATTTTCATAATACAGTAACGCTGTCCTATTTTACAATTTTGGGTTTATAATAATGGGTTCATAGGAATAGGTTCAGAAATGTTCAAAATTTTGAGTGACCGCAACAGTTGTTTTAGTCCTTTTGTTATTCCCAAAGACCAAACTGGTACCGAGTGAAATACCTCTGAGGGCCTCACACATAGTGTAGTTCTGTGGAGACTGTTACATGAAATGCCTCGCATGAATTCTGATCTACTTTCCCCTGTATGGAGATGAGACAGAGATAAGACAAGCTTGAAAGTTGTTTCCAACAGAAAAATGGAAAACATACCATCCTCCTAAGACATACCTTCCCTTCCCAACCAAAAAAATCCAATTGCACATTAGTTGATTGGTAGCGTCAAGTTCTGGGATTTTTATAATTGACAGGATAAAGTTCTTTTTTACAGGAATATTGTATAACACTAGAACTATAAGACAGCAGGATATACATGTGATTTGCTCTGAAAAATACCTTTTGTGTTGAAGGATGTGTTTGAAACTATTCTGATTAGCACATGCTTGACCAATGGATAAAATGTCATTTACACCCAGGGATGCGGGGAATCCAGGAGGTAAAGATGTCATTACTGCTAGCATCTGTAACCTCTAGTTCTAGCCCTGGCAGAGCAGGAAACATGGAGGTTAAAACGAAATCAAACCAAACCAAAAATATCAAAAGGCTTCTGCCATTAGGGTTGTCTACTGTTTTCTTCTTCAGGTCCTGATTGTCTGCAGTACAGGTTTGGCCGGGATTATGTTGCTGAATTACCAACGAGATTACACCATCTGGGTGCTACCACTCATCATTGTCTGCCTCTTTGCATTCCTGGTTGCTCACTGCTTCCTTTCCATTTATGAAATGGTTGTTGATGTCCTTTTCTTATGTTTTGCCATCGATACAAAATACAATGATGGGAGCCCTGGGAGGGAATTCTACATGGATAAAGTTCTCATGGTAAGTTTGCCCTTGCTCTCTAAGTCTCAGGATATGGTTCCATAAAATGGATATTTTGAAAGTGAAATGAACTCACTAGCTGAGTTTAATATGGTAATTTTTTTTACCTGGGTTACCTTGCTGTCTTTTTATGGCTTGATCAGCAAACAGTGTGATCTGATGAGCATCAGATAAGTAATGATGCTTCCTTCCGTTGGTGTCACTGGTATTGGCTTCTATTTGCTAGCTGTTGGATGAGCAGTCGTCTTGCAGAATCATACTCTTGGGTATCATTTCTTGTAAATGATACAGTGCAGAATGGAAAGAAGCAAAACAAGGGGTAAAGGCTTAGGTTTTATACTTTCCTAAGAAGGACCTCCTTTGGGATGTGAAAGATTAAAAACATCAGAGTATTTTACCCCACACATAGATAGTGACCACACTAGAGTTTTTCTTCTTTCAGACAGACACCAACCAGAATTTGACTCTCAGTCTGTCATGCACAGAAACAACAGGTTTTATGTTCTGTCCTGCAGCCTAGATGCTATGTCGAGGCCCTTTGTACAATTCGGTTCTTACTTGTTTGTTCCATCTTATTCCCTGTTCACTCTAGCTGGAGACCAAGAGGTAGAAATTCTGCTCCTCAAACCCTTCAGTTTGTTGTTGAGTCAGTAATTTTCTTTACAGTGTTTTTAAGTGGCAACTGTAGAATATGTCCCTGTAAAATGTACCCCCACGTGTAGGCTAGAGGAAGACTCTCATGACTTCTTAGCATAATTTTTTTTCTGACTACTTGTTGGAAAACAACGCCAAGAATTCAACGTTAAATTTTTGGTTAAACACTACAGAATCTAGAGCATCTAATAAATAAAATGGTAGTGGATGAGTTGCTTTTTAGCACAGAATAAGAGTAAAATACAGCATGCTGTCTTGGAAGACAGCACAGGTAAGTCATAAAAGCATTGTGGGTTTCTTTAGTCAGTAGTTGATATCACAAAACACCAGCAGCTAAAGTTTACTGAAATTTTCTACAGAATGCTTGCCTTTAAGAGAAGAAATTACATAAAATTCAATTAGCACCTTTGCTAATCTTTGTGAATAGGTGATGGTGGTCTGGTGAAAAATTTAAGTTTGAATTGAGGGAAGTTAGGGAAATCAGCAAGACCTTGCAAGTAGTCGTCTCCAAGTGCCTCTGTTTACTGGAGTTCTAACATTACACACAGTTCACAGGATAGGGTGTAATAACCGGGATCTCTGGGGTGTTTTGTTGGCTTTTTTTTGCCAGCCACCCTTCTACCTTCCTTCCCTATAAAGGAGAGTATTGTGTGGTAAATGTGAAAGTTGTAACAGCACACAAGGCAAGTATCTGTCTGACTTCCAGAGTTAAATGAGGGAGACCCTTGTGCTATTGGCAGGCTTTTTTGAGACTTTGTGGACAAATCTGAGCAAGGGAAGTGGGGGGAGCAAGTTGTATTGACATTTTGAGCAGTTACATCTTGAAGTTTTGTCTTGAGATTTGATGTTTGGAGTCTGCTCTAAGAAAGCACTTTTCACTTCACTACTGTTTTTCAGGAGTTTGTGGAGAATAGTAGGAAATCTATGAAAGAAGCTGGCCGGGGAGGTGGAGCTGAGGGCAGAGAGCTAAAACCAATGGTAGGTGCAGATGAGGAGGTGGCGATCCTCCAAGAGTTTCACTTTTACTTCTTCTCCCTCTTTGTCTTTACTGACTGCACTTCTTCAGGAGAAGTTTTTGTTCTCTGTATCACTCAAGATGTTCTGCTTTTTCTGTTTGTGAGCTTGCCTATCACATGGATGGCAGAGTTTTTGTCACAGCTGAGACCATCTCCTGTAAAAGTAAGATGAAAGGAACTGTGTCATATGAAACAAATGCTGCATCGTTTCATTAGGGTTAGTAGTGCATGCTATGTGGTATACACAGACAACCCCAATTGCTAAGTACTCTCAAAATAAAATGGCTCTGGAATTCATTGGGCTATTCTGACTTTAATCCTCTTTTCAGCTCTGAGCTGAACAATTTTTGTTCATCTTACGTTCACCGTAAAAGCCTGAAGAACACTACTGAGCACATCCATTGTTGCAAAGTAGGACCAGGCATTTAAAGCTCTCACCAAATTGTTCTATGCAGTGCCAAGGAATTGGATACAGTGATTCCTTTCAACCTGCTCAAATGACATTTCTCCCAGTTGTTTGTTTTTATTGCCAACTACTTATGTTGCTTGTCTCTTGTGTGCTCTTTCCATCTCGCACTGTCAGATACACAGACAGTGAACAATGCATCATTTATGCTTCTGCAGCCTGTTTTACTTATGGTGTGCCTGTTAGAAAGGCATTGCATGTCTGAGTAGCCTGGAATAAGGAACAGCTATACTTGGTACAGATAACAGATAGGAGGATGAGTTTGGAAGGTGGAGAACTGAGAGCGTATGATGGAGAACCAGGCTGGGCAAGGTATGACTTGTCATCGTGCAGTATGACTTTGTGAAATAAAATATTTTTCCATCATTACTTTCTCAGAGTATTTGGGGCCTGACTCAGTTGCTTGCCACGGGGGCAATTTTTTGACCTAATGGAATCTAAACAAGTGTATGCTAACAGTAGATTTTTTTTTTCAATGATGTATGTGAAGCCATGTTGCATGAGCACTTTTTGACCAAGCTGGAGTGGGTTCCTGCGGTAGAGTCGATAGATGTGTAGCTTTGAGTGTTTTGCTATTTCGTTATAGCATACCAGTTTCTAGATTTGCTTATGCCTAAATGCTGCTGTGTTTATACCTCTAAAAAACTAATTCTATGCTCATTTACTGTTTTCTTCTGGGAGTAATTCTAGCTGTTCAAACAGATAGTAATGTTGGGATTTTCACAGTGGTCTAAATGCTGTAAATGTAATGCTGCCATTAAAATGATTGCGAATTGGGTGTGCAAACCTTCTAGTCATGTGCACAAAAAATTTCAGTCCAAAATTGTATTATGTTAACCTCTGAATTCGAACAACTGATTTACCTTAAGTGGTTTTCCACTTATGCTCTCGTCAGTGCTAGCACAGACCACTACTTGACTGACTAAGGCTTGGGTGTTAAAACCTTTATTCACCTCCCTTTGTAAAAGGGCAAACCAAGTACTTGCAAGTCAAGGGTGGTCTTGTTCATTTAGGAACTTGACTTTAGGTGCTTGAGCATGGCACTGGCTGAAAGTCCTCTTAGGACTGCTGAAGATGCTGAGTACTTGGGACTCAGCCTGAGTCTCACCTGCTGAATTACTCCCAGTTTTGCTGCTCATGTGATTGTCTTGTTTGGAACTGATTAGGCCTTGTTTTCTCAAGTGATCTTCCATTTTGGGGCATTCAGTTCCAGTTGAATAGATTCTGAAATACAAAGATCTCACTTCCTAACAAGGACAGGACACAGCAGTTACCTCCATGAAATTTCTGATACCTTTCCCCAAAACATTGATAAAGGCCTCTAGTTACATCTGGAATAGGATCATTCATAAGTCTCTTCTGTACTAGTACCACCTATAGTCCCAAAATTGGGTGTCTGAAAATTAGATTAATTTTTCTTTTTTTTTCTTCTTTTTTAAAAATAGAGTCTTTACTGTTTTGCTTCAGTCTCCTTTAAGTGCAGATATTTCTTAGACATGACAATTAGTTCTGAAAGTGAAATGTCCTAAGTTTAGTTGTATTTTAAATAGGTATTAGTAGCAGAGATGAGGAAACATTCAGGACCTTCTGTTCTTGTATCAAAGCACAAGAAAAAAGCCCCAACTTTTCACACTTCTTTCTTTATGGTTTCCAGTGACCCCTTTGACTCAGTTTCTCCTTGTCCTTTGGCATTTGTCTAAGACTGAACTATATGACTTTGTTTTCTAGGCCTCTGGAGCAAGTTCATCTT